TCCTTGGTGCAACCCTCCTAAGCAAACGGTAATGGTACTTGGTGGCAAGACTCCTTTTGTGGTGTGAGAACGGTATTGTCTTTTTACGGCCTCCGCAGGCACCGAGCAGCGTCCCGACGCCCAAGGGAACTGAACTCCTCTCCTTCTCTACTTCTCTCTCTCTCTCTCTCTCTCTTCTGTCTTCTTCTCGGAGACACCTTCTCAACTTCTTCTCTCTCTCTCTCTCTCTCTCTCTCTCTCTTTATCTTTCTCTTTTACTCCACAACGTTTCACCGTCCTCCGACATTATCCGGGAGAGATCACCTTTTTACCGGTCGTTGCGACCTCGTCATTCCGCCCTTATCTCGAGACCCCCACGAGAGTAAGAGAAAAAGAGAGAGGAAGAGGAAGAGACAGAGAGAGAGAGAGAGAGAGAGAGAGAGAGAGAGAGAGAGAGAGAATACATAGAGAAAAGAAGAGTCCTCGCCCGAAGGGGAGACGTAGGAGACCGTGACGAGGTCGTCAAATCCGCAGGGCGATTGAAAATTATACAGGGATCAGCTTTTACGAGCGGACGCTTTAGCTCGCTGACGTGTCGACTCTTATAACAGAGACTCTTTGTGTCCTGGATCCTGCGACATTCAACTTCTAACATATCTTCGACGTTAGTAGTCGTAGATAGGTTATAATGAAAAGATTTTACATTAATGAGTACCCTCCTCTTCCTCCTTCTCCTTCTCCTCTTCTTTTCCATTCCTTCCCCGTCTCTTTTCTTTTTCCTTTTATTGTTTTTCTTTTTTTTCCTTTCTCTTTTTCCGTTTGTTTCTTTTCTTTTCTTTTCTCTTTTTTTTTTTTCTTTTTTCTTTTTTTTTTGATCGGATAAACATCGAACTCTCTGAGAACTACTTTCGATAGGATATTTCATTAAAGTACTAGAAGGAACTAGAGTTAAATAATTATTCGATTAGCTTCGACACTCTCCTCATTCCCCTCTTTTCACCCTCATCCTATCCTCTCCTCCCTTGGCTCTTTTTTTCTTTAACCCACATATATACGCACGTTTACAAACGCATATATAGTGTGTTGGTAATTGGTCTTTCTACCTCGGCGACGCGCGCTCTCGATGGGATTATAAATTACAAATTATACGCGGTGGATAGCGGCTCGTAAACGTCGCCTTTTCGAGCCACGTAATATTCATGAGATTTGCAAGCTGCGTTGTATAAAACGCGCGAAACGATGAGACCGGTGTGTATCTCGTTGGACGAGCACGCACCATACTCGATTTATTCCTAAGCGTTACGTTGGTCAGATCGATATAATGTGCGCGTACGTGTATATATCTGTGTGAAATGTTTGTGAAATGTGTGTGTGTGTGTGTGTGTGTACATATGTGTCTGTGTCGTGTGAGTATACGTATGTATGACTGCTCCATTAGCCAAGACTATATATACAAATAAGCTATATCAGGTTAATCTCGATTTGATGGCTCCTCCTATAAATTGCTTTGGATTTACGTACTCGGATTTATCAAATTTTTTGCCTTCTCTTATTTCCATCTTCTTCTTCTTCTTATTCTTCTTCTTCTTCTTCGTCCGAAAGATTCCCTTTTTTTTTCCTTTGAAAATATTTTCTCGAACGATAAGGATAAGAAGCTTTGGCCTTCGATCGACGTGTGTATATACGAATTAATCGAGAAATCATCCTTGCACATGAGACTAATCGTAATTGTAAATAACATGAGTGTCGTTAAACGGCCTCTTTTTTCTTTTTCTTTTTCTTTTTCTTTTATCCTTTTTCTTTGCATCGAACAAAGTCCTCGTTCGCGTGGAAAGGGAAAAAAAGAAAGAAAGAAAAAAAAAAGAAAAAAAAAAAAAAAAAAAAAGAAAAAAAGAAAAGGAATAAGACGGAGTTACGATTGAGGTAAAAACACTGTGTACTTGTTACATGTCTGAAACGATTATGCCGCTCGTAAAAGATCGATACGATAAATTCAATGACGTATTATCGTGTTCATGACCGGTATCATCTCTCGCGATATATAATAATTATACAAATTATATCGGCCAAGACATCGTTCTAATGCGATCAAAACATTCCTCATCGTCGTTTCCCGCGATAAACCAATCTCGCGAAGGATCGTACACTTCACGAGAAGTTTGATCGTGGAATGGAGAAAATGTAATGAACGTGTTGGTATCATTAAAATTCATAGATAATTTATACATAAGTTTTATCTTAACCCTTTCGTTACACGGAAAAATATCAATATGAGATGACTTTATCAAATGCCTATCG